ATTAATGAAAGTTTGAAATAAAATCAAAATCCTATATTCTCAAGTAGTATCTCATCAAGTAATATAATATAAGGTTGTCAAATATCTCCCTTCCGCTTTTTTGCTCTTGGTTTATAATACAAAAAGGCGGAAGGGAGATATTTGACAACCTTATATTTTTAAAAATCTTAACAATTTCCTTGATTGTACGATAAATAAATGCATAATTTGTGCTTGGATAACACAATTTTATTCATATACTTTATAGAAGAAATAGAATTTAGTCAACCCTACTACAATGCGGAGATAAAATTGCAACAGCTTCCCCGTAACACTGTAAAATCGTTTTTAGTGTAAAAACCTATAAGTTTCTTCTCTTAATGACTGATAACTAGATATTGTAATATTTAGATAGATTTATTACGGATTATTTTAGCTTTTACAATATAAACGAGGCAGATTATATCGGCAGAGGATGTGTATGATATTGGTTAAGTAGTGCTTTAGAGTTCTTTCCCAGCACATTCGTCTTTCTAAATAAGTCTAAAACAAATTGTGTTTGATTTTTTTTTGAAAAACAATTTAATTTAGGTTTTGTTTATTTTTTTTTATCATATACTTTATACTCTTCAATTTAATAAAAATTGATATAATTTTCTTTTTTAATGCTCTTTATGAACTATATTCAATTCAATAAGAACGATTTATTAGTTATTCTGTCTTTTGTATTCATTAGTCTCCATATAAGACGGAATAAATGTAATAATTTCTGTGCCAATTCTGAGTTTCCTACAAAGCAATATCTGGTTTACATAGAACGCGCTAGGAATAGCATGGTTTATATTTAAATCTGAGTTTCTTATAGCGCGATTTTCGTATTACTGGTACACACTTACTTTTATTATAGGAAACTTGACTAAATTTAAGAACATAGATTAATAATTTAAAAAAAAAATGCAAATATTTAAAAATAATCTCCAGACACTGAACTCAGCAGTAACAGTTATTATTGATAGCATTTACAATTACAATCATCATCTTAAACTTTTACAGACTATTATAATAAAATTTAAATACAGCTTTACTCTTCAATTTTCTATTTATTTATTATAATTACCTATGTAAGAGCGTAGCTCTTGCAAATGCCTTCCCACATTCAACACAAGTAAAAGGCTTCTCACCACTATGTACATTGGCATGTTTTGCCAAATCATATTTACTGAAGAAACTCTTTGAGCACTGATCACAATGATATTTTCTTTCTCTGGTATGACGGCGCATGTGGATGTCCAATAATTGTTGAAGAGGAAAACTTCTATCGCAATGGTCACAAGGAAAGACATCAGTTTCAACACAAACTGTTGGCTTGTTGGGATTATCATCGCTGAGAGCTGGTCTATCATCATAGTCTAAATGATAAAATAAATTTTATGATTTTTGTAGAAATTGAGTGAGAACATGATCTTATATGAGCAACTAAAAAAAAAAAAAAAAATTGAATTGAGTGAGAGTATTGGGAAACCAGAGTAAAATGTAAAAGTTTTTTTATGAAAACATCATTAAGTCTTTTGTACCATGCAGTACAAACCCACTAAAACCCTCAAAATCCACAAAAATCCATTTAGTTTAGTATCAGGTGCAATTTGTTCTTTGTCCGATCAGACCATGTTTCAAAAATCATAAATAAGAAGATAACTTATGGTAATGTCAGTAAATACAGTATATAAACAAATGAAAAAAATATATATAACTCTGTTTTACACATTTTACAAATTAATCCAAAAATAACTATAAAATTAAGTCTTGGTGTAAATGGTAGTTATATAATATTTGATTTTCAACTGTTTTATTATATTTTATTAAAAGGCCTTTCAGTACAAGGATAGCATTTCTAAATATGCTAATTAAAAATTAGTCCAACCTCATTACCCATAAAATTCAAAACAATTTTTTTTCAATTCACTAGTAAATTATTATTTAGCAATATTTGCTATTAGTAATACAGTCCGCATCGATCTGAATAGAATCACATTATTTGTTTTTTGGTATCTTTTACAATTGTGACAAAATGTTATTTTGAGAAAAGAGGTATCTCGGCCAGATGATAAGCTAGAAAATGGAAAATTGGCATATCATGGGATTGGATGCTTGCAAACTTGTCTAAACGGCATATTAAGATTATAAATATAGATAATCATAGTTATTTGCATTTTAACAGGGGGTATGTAACCAAAATGCCCCACCTCAACCTAATAATGGATGGAAAAACATTTTCAATATCTCACATTAACAACAACAATATTTACCATAGAAATCTTCCTTAAGCACATATTGTTCTGTATTTCCATCGTTCAATGTACTTCTGCGTTCAATCTTTAAAACTTTGGATACTTCAGTAGTAGTAGTTCCAGCTTGCAGATTCAAAATTTTTGGTTTATTTTCATCATTCTTAGTTGCTTTGTTTTCAGTCCTATTTCTATTCCTTGTCACTGGTTTGAGCTCAACATAGGTTTTGACTTGCTTTGGCGAAGGAGGATTCTCCTCTGCAGTCTCATTGGAATCCTCTTCCACCTCATCAATACCACGTTTTCGATTTTGCACCTGTATTGTCTGAATGAAGAAAATTTTATTAACAACAATATTATATTGTATAACTTGCAAGTTTTATCATCATCGTTAACATCCATTATAGGAAAAAAACTAAAATTTAACTAAACAAGGTTTCTAACTAAAAATATTAATAGAGTTAATTCCTATCAAATTTGCATACCTCAAAAATATCATCTGGCAAACTTATTGGTTCAGGCCAAACCCCAGTGTTTGGATATTGCCTCAAAGCGCTATCACTCTGTTTGCAAATTTGTTTGAATCGATAAGATCTATCCATCAATATTCTGCATGGGCTGCATATAGTCCTAGGCATTCCATCATTATAAAAGACCTATAAAAAAAATAAGATGAAACAATATTACACTAGTATCAACATTAAATAAATCATTAAATCATTGAAAAAAATTGAATTCAATTCTGCGATATGTTGAAAATTTTTAGTAATGTAGATTATTTTTGAGCAAAATTTAATTTTTAATATAATCTGTTTCAAGATTTGCTATAAAAATGAATGCAAATGCTGTCACATAATTAATTATAATTTATTCACCTTTGTTTTAAAATGATTTGATAATTGTATTGTAATGACTAACTACTTTTAGGCTGAAGAAATATTTGCTTGAATAAATTTTTTTTAAAAAAACTAATCAATATTGTGCTTTAAATATAAATAAAATGTTGAGAATGTTATATAGTCATTAAACTGTTCGAGCAATTGAGCAACTTATTAAATTAAACCTTTAATATTAATGCCTTATTTGAGATCATTCATTCATTCAAGATGTTACAATTCATTCCTTCATTATGAAAAGATTTTCTCCAAGTTTCAAATATAAATTTGATATTATGTATTAGTTGTAGTAGATCCAAATTGTAAATATAGTGATATGAATATTATATAAATATATTTGTACCAAATAAGTTTGAAACATTAGATTCCGAATAGAAATAAATTGTCACCAAAAATTTAATAAATAGTTTGAGCAAATATGAAATTCAAAACAGAAGATTCGCAGAACATAACTAATGAATTATATTTTGATCCCAGACCTTTGAATAAATTATTCAGCTCAAAAGCAAAACAAATTTCAGGTGAGTAAATCTTTTATAATGTAGACCCACTTTTATGCTTTTTCTAATTAATTTTATCAGCATTATAAATGCAATTATATATATATATATATATATATATATATATACATATATGTATAAATATGTAATAATTATTTCAGATGGTAATGAATATGCCGTTTGAACAAAAACTTCTTGAAAGACATCCATCTAGGGAATAAAAACAGAAAGAAAACTAAAAATTTGAGTCATAATTGGTATATATATATATATATATATATATATAATTCTCTCAATGCATAATGCAAAAAGTATCATTCCTTGCCCTTAAGTAAAATTGTAAGTCGATGAGCATCTTAGTTAATTAAACTTTTATGCCTTCATATTTCTTCCTAATTCCTTTTATGATGTCATATTCTTCATAAGAAAATGCTAAATAATAAATAAGAATTATTTGTAAACATGCAAATTTAACAGAAACATTAGTTTTTAATAAAAAAACATGTATTGAATTTAGTAACTGAAAAACTGATGGTAGATGAGTGAGAAGGCCAATTGTGATCAAAGTGCTTATTTGAGCATTAATATTTAGTATATTCTTATAAACAAAAGTACCATTACCCTTAGCGAATTAAAGGTAAAAATACCCACTTAGTAAACAAACCATTTCTTAATTCGATGGCGCAAAGTTAAAATGTCATTTCCAAGATTAGAGAAGCAAACCATACAAACAAAACAGTCTGTTTACGTTTTTGCGCAAACTTAAAACGACAAATAAATCAATTAACTAAATCATTATTTCAGTAATACCTCAACAGAAACACAAGCCATAATCTGTAAAGGCAACGGCACCGCGTTATTTTCTGCGGGCGAATCCTTTTCAAATATGTTTGTCAATGGTTCTTCCTGGGTCATGCAGAACCGACAGATTCGCTTCAAGCATAATTCTTCGCGTTTTTCCTCCATTTTCTTAGCGATTTTCAACGCCTCGAAAGGAGTTTTCCACTAATTAAAATTAAAACACCAATTGCACGGGATATTCGCTTAGCTAGACGCCATGACTTGGCGAGTGACAAAATGGTGAACGGCTTCGCCCTTGTCACCTGCTGTTCTTTCGTATTATTGACCAAAGATGGCGACTCATTATATTAAACAAACGGAGTTATTTACTTCATATTTGTTTTGATTCAGATAAATCTATCAACAATTGAAAAAACTATTTTAAATAAAGGTACGGTTTATTTTATTTATTAACTTCTCGTAGGGTGAGTTGAAGTAATTGCAAAAAATCGTAATTGAAAACATTTGCATATCTTTACGTTGCAGAGATTTCTGTACATTTTAGCATACTCATAGAAAACAATTATAAATCTGTTGAATTTAAAATCGGACTAACAATGCATATCATAAAACAATTAAAAAACTAAACTAGTCGGGGTGTATGGCATCGTGCCTCAAGGCAAATTGCTGGAACTTCCCGTACAGTAACGAAATTTTTGAGGAATACTGAATGTTTTCAAATAGATTATATTATAGTTAATATTGTAACATTGTCTAATATTTATACAAATTATATAAACTGAATTGCAAAGTTAAAATTATTTGTTTAAAGTATATTAGAACTATAGTCAGAATTAAAAATAAAATCTGAATTATCTTCGATATACAAAAAAATTTTTTTTGAAAAAAAAAGTTGGAACATTTTTTTTCCAAAATCAATTATTTTGTTAAGACAAGCAGCAAGTTCTTTGAATCATTTAAATCGAACGCTTAGTTCTCTCAAAATCTGCCATTTTTTACACATTTAACTCCGTATCTACGAAATGGCTGAGCCTGCCTTTGCAAAAAACTAATAAACACTTCTCCCAATCATTACTAATTGAATGTTTTTTAGATCATTCAAATCGGATGCTCCGTTCTCTCAAAAACTCGATTTCTATTTTCTGCACTCTTTGCTCTTTATCTCCGTAACTGCTGGACCTGCCTTTACCAAAAACTAATCAGCTCATCTTCCTATCAATAGGAATAGAATGTTTTTTGAACCATTCAAATCGGTTGATCCGTGCGTCCGAAAACGTGACTGGCAATTTGTATCCATACATACATACATACACACACACACATCCATTTTTTCTGAGGTATGCCAAAATGTTCAGAAACCTTCAAAACGTCGAGAAATGTAAAAAAATTCAATTTCGATTTTCGGCCCATTACAATAACTTACCCTACGGAAGATAATAAAGTGGATTTTTTTACCCGCGGGTTTAAGCCCAGATCTACCCTATATTTATATTTATTTTTATATTTATATTTACTTTTTAATTCCGCCGTATCTATATATAATAATAATAATAATAGTAAATGGTAGTCTGCCCGAAGGCAGGTCCATGGTGTAAGAGGCACCACAAATAATTTCCTTACCCTTCGTCCATCATTCTCATTAGCATTATTTCCTATTATTTAATGTATTTTCCAAACTTCTGCTTTCATGCTTCTTTATCCTGTGCTTCGGCTTTCAGTTTTCTGTTTTTTGTCTTCTCGTGTAAGTCGCCAATCGTCAATTCTTCTTCTTTCCATTCCTTTTGTTCCTTCTATTTTACCCTCGACGACGTCGTGCAGGAGGCACTCATTTTGCAAAAGAGGTCCGATCCAGTTTCCTTTTCTTCTCAGAATTGTGCTCAGTAGATTCCTTTCTTAGCCCACTCTTCTCAGGACTTCTTTATTTGTTATTTTGTCTGTCCACTTTATCTTCTCCATTCGCCTCCAGTACCACATTTCAAAACTCTCGAGGTAATTTTTATCGGTCTTTCTTAAAATCCATGTCTCCGATCCGTACAGAGCTATGCTCCGGACGTAGCACTTTATTAATCTCTTCCCTAAGCCGAGACTCAGTTTGCTCGTCAGTAGCATTCACTTCTTCGTGAATGCCGCCTTGGTGCTTGCGATCCTTGTCCTGATCTCTCTCGTGCAGTATCCGTCTCTGGTCAGTATGCTTCACAAAGATTTGAAATGATTCATGTTTTTCAATTCTCAATTTTCTCTACCATTATCCTCAAGGGATTATTCCTTTTTGTGATTTTCATCACTTTCGACTGGTCTAGGTTGATTTCCATTCCGAATCATCTACCCACTTCGACGATTCTGCTTATCATATTTTGAAGCTTGGTTTGGTTTTTCGATATTACTACTTACTATGATGATACTAGATCATCAGCTTACTTTATGGTGGTGATTCTTCTTCCTCCAATCGAAAAATCTCCTGCGCCTTAAAGTGTCTCGTTGACGAGCCATCTCCGGACAGGTTGAATAGGATTGGTGACATACAGCATCCTTGCCGCACTCCTCTACCTATTTCAACGCTGTCTGTATCTTATCTCCCTGGTTCACTCGAACCTTTACTTATCTATATATATTATAGATAATTAAATGTCTGTCTAAAAAAAAGAAAATGTCTTCATTAAATTAAAAAGATGGTCAGAGATGATCAATCCGTAATAAAAATTCACTATTTTCATTAACTTTGAAAAATCTCAATCGAACTTCATTAAAAAACGTTCACTGACAGAAATCAAGATAATATAAATGATATAATTAATATAATAATTCTTACGAAATAGTGGTTTGTAGAAAGAGAGTGAAAATTTAGTTTTCTGTTTCTTCATAAAAAAATAAAAATTGACCAAAAAAATTAAAAAAAAATAATCTGGGTGGCCAACCCTTAAATCAAAATATGCAACAACATGCTCAGGGATATACCTAACAATTTCCCATACTTTCACGCCGATTGGATGTATGGTTTATAAAAAATAATTTAATAACTATAATAATTATTTCAAAATAGGGGCTTGTGGTAAGATGGTGATAACTTAGGGCTATGTGTATTTTTAATATAAGCATTATAAAGACATTAAAAAATGACAATAAAAATTTAATTAAAAAAATCAGGGCGTCCAGCCCCTACCACTTGGTTTGAATCAGAATACATGAATGCCTGTCCGGGAATACTAAAATTTACCGAAATTTTCACGGGGATCGGATGCATGGTTTATAAAAATTATGTAATTACTATTTGTAATAGTAGGTTGAAAATTTAGCGTTAAATTTGTTGTTATATACGCATGATATAAAAATGAAAATTGACCAAAAAAATGAATAAAAAAGTCTTCGGTGCTGTCCTGGTACATATCTAATAGTTTCCCAAAATTTCACAGCAATGGAACGTATGGTTTAAGAATATAGAACACACACAGACATACATTAATTTTTATATATATAGATTTTTGACAGATGATAGAGATCATAGTCTAATTGATAGTTAAAGCATGTTTTGGCAGAAAATATTGTAATACAAGGTTTTATGACAATATTTTTTGTCTTAACGAACATACTGAAATTACTGATGTCTACCCCCTACCTACGTAAGCCAACATGTTTGAATAATTTGTTCAAATTGAATAGCCTCACATGATAATACTCATATAATACTCTACAATAACTGGTTATACTTAAAAATCAATCATAAATTACGTATTGATTTTTTACTGATTAAGTCGATTATTTACACGTATCAGAAAGTTCATGTCACTTGCCCTAAGGCAAAACTTACTTAAAAGTTTGAATTATATTAAATATTTTAGAAGCCATATCAAAATAATATAAAAAGCTACTCGAAATAAATAAAAGAGAATAGCTAAATTCATTTGCTTTAATATTTTATATGTATTGTGTTGTAAATGCGTTAAATTTTCGTAATATTTTCGTACACCTCAATTAATAATAAATCATTTCTTGTAGGTTAATGCAACTTGTTCCAAATAGTACAAATTACAATCTGAATTAACCATTCCTATCTCTGAATCTCGTCCATTATTATTTTAAAACCTTTTATAAAACTCGTGTTAATGTAATCGTTCGTGCATTTATTTTCCAGATCGTGAGAATAATTTTTTTTACTAATGAAGTAAGTCTCTTCATTTGTGTCAAATTTGCACAATTACGATTTCGCAAAAGTGAAGGGCGATGTGCTGTTTGTTCAAACAAAAAATTATATAACCAATGCTGTTCACATCAGCTAAAAGACAATCGTGTGAATTCTTTTTAACTTTAACGACGTCCTGAATAGAATGCAATTCTTCTAAATTCTAAATTTTATCTGTGCATTGTTAAGCGGGATAAGGATTACTGATTCCGCGTTATTCACGGACTATGCGGATGCAGGTTGATACGGTCACGATTTGTTCGAGAAGACAGGGTGGAAATGGGTGCCCCCAAACGATTATGAGAACTTTTGTGTAGGTGCAATCTCCTAAGCATAAATATAGTGAGTGACTTATATTAGTAAAACACTACCTTGTCATATTCTTCCGCTCTTATCTTACTATCGGTTAATATCTTAGTTATAATTTTTCAGGGGTGTAATATTGATATGGTCATGATTTGTACAAGGAGACAGAAACAGGAGTCACCAAATGATAATGGTAACTTATGTGTATGATCTCATAAGCTCATATAATAATCTCATATTGTCTGGTATTGGTTAAACACTCATTTATCACATTCTTCCTTTCTTATCTCATTATCGATTAATATCAAAGTTATAATTTCTCAAATACATTCATATTCATGATGCAGGTTGATACGGTCACGATTTGTTCGAGAAGACAGGGTGGAAATGGGTGCCCCCAAACGATTATGAGAACTTTTGTGTAGGTGCAATCTCCTAAGCATAAATATAGTGAGTGACTTATATTAGTAAAACACTACCTTGTCATATTCTTCCGCTCTTATCTTACTATCGGTTAATATCTTAGTTATAATTTTCAGGGCTGTAATATTGATATGGTCATGATTTGTACAAGGAGACAGAAACAGGAGTCACCAAATGATAATGGTAACTTATGTGTATGATCTCATAAGCTCATATAATAATCTCATATTGTCTGGTATTGGTTAAACACTCATTTATCACATTCTTCCTTTCTTATCTCATTATCGATTAATATCAAAGTTATAATTTCTCAAATACATTCATATTCATGATGCAGGTTGATACGGTCACGATTTGTTCGAGAAGACAGGGTGGAAATGGGTGCACCCAGACGATTATGAGAACTTTTGTGTAGGTGCAATCTCCTAAGCATAAATATAGTGAGTGACTTATATTAGTAAAACACTACCTTGTCATATTCTTCCGCTCTTATCTTACTATCGGTTAATATCTTAGTTATAATTTTTCAGGGGTGTAATATTGATATGGTCATGATTTGTACAAGGAGACAGAAACAGGAGTCACCAAATGATAATGGTAACTTATGTGTATGATCTCATAAGCTCATATAATAATCTCATATTGTCTGGTATTGGTTAAACACTCATTTATCACATTCTTCCTTTCTTATCTCATTATCGATTAATATCAAAGTTATAATTTCTCAAATACATTCATATTCATGATGCAGGTTGATACGGTCACGATTTGTTCGAGAAGACAGGGTGGAAATGGGTGCACCCAGACGATTATGAGAACTTTTGTGTAGGTGCAATCTCCTAAGCATAAATATAGTGAGTGACTTATATTAGTAAAACACTACCTTGTCATATTCTTCCGCTCTTATCTTACTATCGGTTAATATCTTAGTTATAATTTTTCAGGGCTGTAATATTGATATGGTCATGATTTGTACAAGGAGACAGAAACAGGAGTCACCAAATGATAATGGTAACTTATGTGTATGATCTCATAAGCTCATATAATAATCTCATATTGTCTGGTATTGGTTAAACACTCATTATCACATTCTTCCTTTCTTATCTCATTATCGATTAATATCAAAGTTATAATTTCTCAAATACATTCATATTCATGATGCAGGTTGATACGGTCACGATTTGTTCGAGAAGACAGGGTGGAAATGGGTGCACCCAGACGATTATGAGAACTTTTGTGTAGGTGCAATCTCCTAAGCATAAATATAGTGAGTGACTTATATTAGTAAAACACTACCTTGTCATATTCTTCCGCTCTTATCTTACTATCGGTTAATATCTTAGTTATAATTTTTCAGGGGTGTAATATTGATATGGTCATGATTTGTACAAGGAGACAGAAACAGGAGTCACCAAATGATAATGGTAACTTATGTGTATGATCTCATAAGCTCATATAATAATCTCATATTGTCTGGTATTGGTTAAACACTCATTTATCACATTCTTCCTTTCTTATCTCATTATCGATTAATATCAAAGTTATAATTTCTCAAATACATTCATATTCATGATGCAGGTTGATACGGTCACGATTTGTTCGAGAAGACAGGGTGGAAATGGGTGCACCCAGACGATTATGAGAACTTTTGTGTAGGTGCAATCTCCTAAGCATAAATATAGTGAGTGACTTATATTAGTAAAACACTACCTTGTCATATTCTTCCGCTCTTATCTTACTATCGGTTAATATCTTAGTTATAATTTTTCAGGGGTGTAATATTGATATGGTCATGATTTGTACAAGGAGACAGAAACAGGAGTCACCAAATGATAATGGTAACTTATGTGTATGATCTCATAAGCTCATATAATAATCTCATATTGTCTGGTATTGGTTAAACACTCATTTATCACATTCTTCCTTTCTTATCTCATTATCGATTAATATCAAAGTTATAATTTCTCAAATACATTCATATTCATGATGCAGGTTGATACGGTCACGATTTGTTCGAGAAGACAGGGTGGAAATGGGTGCACCCAGACGATTATGAGAACTTTTGTGTAGGTGCAATCTCCTAAGCATAAATATAGTGAGTGACTTATATTAGTAAAACACTACCTTGTCATATTCTTCCGCTCTTATCTTACTATCGGTTAATATCTTAGTTATAATTTTTCAGGGTGTAATATTGATATGGTCATGATTTGTACAAGGAGACAGAAACAGGAGTCACCAAATGATAATGGTAACTTATGTGTATGATCTCATAAGCTCATATAATAATCTCATATTGTCTGGTATTGGTTAAACACTCATTTATCACATTCTTCCTTTCTTATCTCATTATCGATTAATATCAAAGTTATAATTTCTCAAATACATTCATATTCATGATGCAGGTTGATATGGTCACGATTTGTTCGAGAAGACAGGGTGGAAATGGGTGCCCCCAGACGATTATGAGAACTTTTGTGTAGGTGCAATCTCCTAAGCATAAATATAGTGATTGATTTCTATTGATAAAACACTACCTTGTCATATTCCGCTCTTATCTTACTATCGGTTAATATCTAAGTTATAGTTTCTCAGGGATGCAATATTGATATGTTCATGCTTTGTACAAGTAGACAGAAACAGGAGTCACCAAATGATAATGGTAACTTATGTGTATGATCTCATAAGCTCTTATAATAATCTCATATTGTCTGGTATTGGTTGAACACTCATTTATCACATTCTTCCTTTCTTATCACACTATCGATTAATATCAGAGTTATAATTTCTCAAATACATTCATACCAAGGATGCAGGTTGATATGGTTACGATTTGTACCAGTAAACAGGGCAGAAATGGAGCCATCCAAACAATAAGACTGTTGTGCCATAATTGCAGATTTAAGGTTTTATAAAATGAAACAGTTTACACTTTTATAACTTATACATTTATTCACTTATTTTAACTGGTATGTAGAGATGCGAAAGGATTCGTGGTTGAAATTGGAATGAGGTGATTGAGGCCTTTTGGCATAGAGGGCGGAAAGGGTCGTATTGCCAGGTTGCAATGTCCTAAATGTCCCAATGTCCCTAAATTATCTTATGCAAAAAGGTATATTGAGTTATGATCCAGGAGATGGCACAACAATACGATCTCATAAACATAAATATAGTGACTGCTATCGGTATAACACTCCCTTATTAGATTTTTCCTCTATTTTACTATTGATCAATATATAAGTTATGATTTCTCAAACGCATTCATACAAAGGATGCAGGTAATGGTCACGATTTGTATAAGGAGACAGGGCAGAAACAGGAACCAACGGATGATATTGGAAACTTGTGTACGATTTCATAAGCATAAATATAGAGCCTTGTTAAAACAGTTACTCTATCGATTAATATTCAAGTTATAATTTGCAGAGGATGCAGATTCATATGGTCAAGGTTTGTACAAGGAAACAGAGCAGAAACAGGAGCCACCAAATGATAATGAAAACTTTTGTGTATGATATAGTCACTGCTATTGGTGAAATAATCAATATTATTGGTGGAATAATATTGGATTCACTCTCTCCTTTACTACTGATGAATGTATAAATTGTGATTTCTTAAACACCTTCATGACAAGGATGCAGATTAATACGGTCACAATTTGTCAAAAATGAAAGCCCCCAGGTAATAATAATTTTTTATATTTAATCTCATAAGCATAAATATAGCGACTGCTGTTGGTAAAATAATTTCCCAACACAATAATGGAAATTTCTGTGTACAACTTTTACACATAATATGCTCTTGAACAATCACTAACTTTATGTGAAGAGCGGCAATAGATATTGTCGTCAGAAAAGTAATCAAGTTCCTCAAGTACTTGTAATACATCAGGATTAAATAAGTTAATTTACAAAGGTAATCATGACTTTCATAAGGGCATATTCGTCCTCCCCCCTTTATTTGTCAAAATATTAATGTGTTCTAATAAATTTATCAAGTGCATAATCGTTCGTAAGCTACTTTATTTTTAACGTTCCCTTTAGGTTTATTTCCCTATGAACAAATAGCAACAATAAACACCTTAAAATATTATAGGACTACGGAAAGTTATTTATGTATAAAAAGTTTGGAAAACTGTGTGGGCGTTGCACATTCCTTGAAGAATCAGCAGTAACTTTAACAAAAAACTAGATTTAATTGCCATTTTGCCTTTAGACAAGTTGAAATTTAAAACCTTATAAAATTAACATGAAATTTTTTTTAAATTATTGTAATTTTTGATGATTTTTTATAACTAAACTTTCGTTGATTTATAATAAAACTTCATCAAAATTGTTAAAAAAATCCAACAATTAATTATAAAGAAACAATTTAATTATAAAGGTTTTTAATGCAATTTAATCAATAATTCATTTCAATTTAATCATCACGATGCCCAAATAATTTCTTCCGAACTAGTTCAATATTTTTTCGTAAACGCGAACAATAATAGTTCCATCTATTTGCAATTCTAAATAAAAGGCTCGTCTTTATCAAGTTACACTGAAAGGCTTTCAAATTTCTGAAATCCGTTCAGCCGTTTTTAAAAAAACGTCGATGATCAAATTTTGGCTCACATACAAACACACACACTCTCACATTCCAAATTTAGTCTCAAACGATTCAGGATGACTTGAAACGAAAAAATAGAAAAATAGGTAATTGAGGTTTCTGGCTAAAACATAAACATAAATTATATAATTTTATATTAAATACACGTTACAATATAAATTATCAAACAATACATTATTCTTCATAATAAATTACGTTATTATTATGAATGAGTAAATAATCGGTTATTGAGTTGACACAGATTTAAACATTTGCAAGGATAAATTCACATAATAATATGGTTAGATAAATCTGCGGACAAGCACTTATACTAATTGAAAAAAAGATAATATGAAAATGCAATTACATAAAATGTTTGAAATTAATAAGGCAATAAAACAATACAATTGTTTATAAAACAAATATAATAGAATTTACTACGTTGAAATTCCGTAAAGTAATATTTTAACGTATCGTTTTTCAACAAGGGGGTGTCCATTAATCACGTGAGGTTTTTTGGGGGAGGGGAGGTAGTCAAAAAATCACGAAATATCACGTGGGGGAGGGAGGGGTATAGTAAGATATCATGAGTATTTACTTTTTAACTGATCTTTTTTTAAGTAATTCAAAAATTATCAAAAAAAATTCAAAAATTTTACAGTTTTTCACGTAACTAAAAATATACGTGATGTTTGGTGGGGAAGGGGAGGTAATTTTGAATATCACCATGTATCACCAAGGGGGAGGGGGGTCCAAAAATCCCCAAAAACTCGCTCCCGTGATTAATGAACGCCCCCCCACGTGTCGGTTTCCTTTTTTTCATTATGGTCTTATTATAACATTTTAAGTATAATCCGCTATTTTTCACTTAACGTCACCTTAATAAAATTTCATGTGACAACGTCTTAAACAAATATAAATAATTCACAAACGACCTAAAGTAATATTTACAATCTTTCCACAACATTTCTTAATAAATGAGTAAATTTTCTAAATTTCTTTGTTCAGAAAGCGGTTCTGTAAGTCTACCTGGATAAAACATATGCATTTATGTATATTTATGTTGGTATATATATATATATATATATATAATGCGTGTGTGTGTGTGTGCTTGCGGCTAAAAATTAAACAAAAGCACATCTTAATTTCTAAGAAGGGGGCCACCGCGAAGACTCTCGCTCGAAGTCCTTACAATTCCATTCAGTGTTCGTTCCGCAGTCTTCAATTAAACACTGAGCTTTCTAAAGAGACTCAAAAAAATACTCATAATTAATAGAATATTAATTAATTATTTCAAAAACAAAAACTAGATTTAATATTAAAGTTCAAGTTGGAATAACCAAATATATAAAAGTGATAGAATTAAATAAAATACTTATATAAATATAATTTTTTTGTCAAGTTGGTGTGATTAAATAATTTGCTTTTGGATTTGAAAATTTATTAAAAATGAAGTTTGAATTGTGCGTGCTGGCGCTTGTTTTTGCAGGTAATTTATATGAAAATAATTAATATTAATTAAATGATAAAATTGTATCTAACAATAAGTTAATTTTGTGAATAGTAGCATTTATTCATTGGTCACATTGAACGTTAAAGTCCCCTTATTGTAAAAAGTAATGTTTTAAATTTTACACTATTAAAGATGCAATTTATGATACATAATTTCAAACATTTCTATATAACCCCGGCAAATTTTTCCTTTTTTGCAAATATTTTAATTTGTATATTGAATTATATATATATATATATATATATATATATATATATGTTCAAAATGCCTTGCAAAAAATATCTTCATGACTTAAATAACATTTTATAAAACTACAAAATGCCCTAAAAAATTCTATAGCGATATTAATATTTACGACAATAAAATTTAATTTATCTAAATTTTTAATTGGTATTGTTATATATTATTTATTTCTATGCTAATTTATAATTTATTATTTATTTTGCATTATTTCTCTTTTCCCCAATTTTTTTCTTGTATTTAACTTTTTTTGTTTTAGTAAGAGCTTTACATCATATTTTTTACTACTAAGAAAACTTATGTCAATTAAAAAATTATTCAATAAATTAAAGTACGATTTTATTAGGGATAATACGGATAAAATGACACAGTGGCCATATATAAAATATGGCAAATTTTATTAACGTTTCGGTGACTGTATAACATAACCAAAATCAAGGATCCATATTCACAATCCTGCCAGATGTTAAGCGTCATTGTCACAGTCAGTTATTTGTATTTATTCTTTTAAAATAAAAAAACTCATGCCAGTACTAAAGATTTTGATGAATTTTACAGAAATAATCAGGCGTTTGATAAATTTTTAATTAGTTATTCTTTTTTTCGCTCTTGCACAAAATGACTTTGAAATGCTCTTCAGTCTTACTTATACTATGGACAAAATGACAAAGTACTATTTCGTAAGTACTGAGACTTACTAAGACTGTTTTATTGTTCAATGAGGTCAAGAAAAAATAAAATTGTTACCTGTGAAAAGCGATTGACTTCCAACTTTTACTCTTACTACTTCTAAAAACAGACCAAAAAATCCAACGGTCAGAAAAAGACTTGCATTTGTTGCAAAACCTTCTTTTCCTATTCTGACCCCGGCAAAAGTTTCCTTTGGGCTCATGCACTGATGTCCCAAAGACAATCATACCATATATGTCATATTGTCCATACTATATGAACAAAATGGTTTTTGTAACTGCATTGTAGTTGCATTTTTTCTTAATAAATATGATATTATAGTTCCTACTTAATTAAAAGATTATATTATTGGTAGTCAATGAATCTAAGATGAGTAAAAGCGATTCAGATTTAAATAATATCATTAAATAAATAAATATGATTAAAAAACAAAACACCAAGTCATTTTGTGCATACTTCCCCTACATATTGTAAAGAATTCTCATAAACGGTGTGATATGTATATTTTTTAGAAAAAAAGGCTTGATAAATTTAATCTAATAATAAATGAATGAAAAAATAACAATAAACAATTGCCAAGCTCTTTAACGTTTAAATATTGCGTACGATTTTATTTTTTGATTCCCAGGCAATGTCTTCAAAACAAATCATGTGTAATTATAAATAATTTTATGTCTGTCAAGTTATTTCATATGGCCCATTTACAGTACCTTGCATAATAATTTTAAGAAATTAGGCCCCGGGCACTTGTTATGCTGTTGAGTTGAATTTTTGACGAAAAAATTAATTGATCTGGTTTTCACGCAACTAGTATAATTAATTGAGTCGCCTATTATTTGGAAATATTGTATAATTATATATACACGTGTATAAATTATCTCTAATTCAATTTATGTATATATATATATATATATATATATATATATATATATATATGTGTGTGTGTGTGTGTGTGTGTGTGTGTGTTTTAGGGGAGATTGGGTACCATTGTGCCACTATTTTATTAGCCATAATTTTGTTACTTAAGTAGTTAGCTGGAAGGAAAATAAATTAAATGGTAATTTGAACATTTTTCTACGTGAAAATTCTGTAAAACCGTCCTCCAATACGATAGGTGGTGTATAACATCGTGTCTTAAGGCAAATTGCTGGAACTTCCCGTACCGTAACGAAATGTTCGAGAAATAGTAAATGTCTAATATTTATAAGAATTATATAAACTGAATTGCAAAGTTAAATATACTTGTTTGTATATTTTCTAAAAGCAATTATTTTGTCAAAACAAGCAGAAAGGTTTTTGAACCATTCAAATCAGATGCTTAGTTCTCTCAAAAACTGCTATTTTTGCATATTTAGCTCTGTACCTCCAAAGCTGCTATATCTGCCTTCGCCAAAATCTAATCACCACTTTTCCCCGTCATTACGAACTGAATGTTTTTTAGATCATTCAAATCGGATGCTCCGTGCTCTCAAAAAC